AAGTAAATAGTTTGGATGGCAAAAGACGATTTCCATAAAAAGATGGAAATTTTATATGTGATTTAGGCTGGGAATCCTTGTTAAATGAGGGGTACCAGTTTCAAACCATTCCATGATATGTATTCTACTTTAATGCATCAATTATCTAAAAATCACCACATTAAGTTTATTGTAAAAGAGCATTTGCACATAGCGATAGCAACAAATCTAAACCTAAGGGAAACTTATCAGGGATGATATAGCTGAGACCAAATATTCGTGCGCGAAAATATTCGAACATCTCGAATTATTCGAATATTCGGTGTTCGAATATTAAAAGAGCGTTTATTTGATTTTTCGAATAGTCGAATGAAAAATTGATTACTCGCAAAATGTCGACATCCGAAAGTTTCGAACTGAGATTCAAATAATATTCGATTCTTCGAATGTCTGCGGAATCATCGAACATTCAGTCGAATCATCTTCATCTATCTCCGAAAAGAACAAAGTTCGATTCTTGATCTTTTAAGTATAAAGCTTAGTGTATGCTGCAGGATTATTTGCTAAGCTGCATACCTAACAAATCGCACCTAAATCTTGGAGGTTCTGTTACACTTTCTATGTATCAATAAAGATGATACGAAGATGCGTAAAGTATATTCTACTTTAATCTCAATCTCTCTAATCTCTAATCTCTAATCTCATCGGAATAGGTTTAGTCTAGAATGCTCTATGTGAAACTGTTTTCTGTTTCAAATCACTAAAATTGGTATTCCCGTTACAAATAAAGAAGCACATTAAATATCACACGAGATTCATCGACAAAAATAAAATGCTCCTTCAATGTTTCCAATTTTAGTACTGGGCAACTTTCTCTCCTTCTTGGTTTGGCTGCTTGGGTAGTATAGCAACGGTATGTCGCCCCTTAGCTGCTAACTTTCCATCGGACTTCCTTCTGAACTCCGCCTCAGCGAATGCCACATTTCTGCCGATTTTAAGCACGTCCGCAGCTATTTCGATGACTTCTCCAAGTTTGACAGGAAGCATGTAGCTGAATACGGCAATTAAAACAAATATCTTCTACTATTTAAGAACTAAACTCCGGATT